AATAATTAGGCATTGCAGCACCGCGGTCTGTTTCGGTTGGTGCGTGTGCGAGAGACAGAGTTCGATTCGAATGTTGCGACCACAGACCAGCTATAATAGCGTAAACCGCCAGAGACCGTTTAAAAATAGATGACAAAGTACATTAGTGTAATAATGTTTTCACTATAAATTTATTATCCACGCGGGGACGTATGGAGTAGTGTTTTAGTTATTTAGTTTTTGTGAATTATTCATTTTACCTCCTTGTAAAAGGCGTGCACCCAGTTGTCAATTAGTTTTGTTGCTCATTTTTAATGAGGGAATAGAACATTGGTCATACTATACTATACTATAGAACTTTAAGTTGCAATAAAACAACGATGGATTATTCGATTGACATGAAAAAAAACACCCATTATAAATAAAATGTACAAACAAAATAAGATATGGGTCAATCAACTAAGATAGTACTAGTGACAAGTGCAAAACTCGGTTGCTCGCGAAGAAAAGGACAAAAATACGATCAAACGGTGATGCAGTAAGAGCACTGTTCAGTGTTGCAGCAACTTATAGTTGTTTATTGGAAATCTTGAGGAGAGGTTCAAGTAGATGTCGGGAAAATCGTTCGGATTCAACAAAAGTAAAGCAGATTCGTCCGTGTTGATAAAAAATGAAGATGAAGGTATGCAATTATTAGCTCCATACGGCGATATCGGAATTTTAGCTACAACAAATCAAAAAATGAAAACACTCTTTCTGTCTATTTCTTAGGGCAATAATTTGAAAAATATTAAAATTCGGTAAACGTAAAACAGTCTGCATACACAAATGTAGTACTGAAAGTCTTAACACCGCTATTAAAAACATTTGTTCAGTTAGGAAAAGAAAGTTCAAAGAATTGAACTCTTCCTTGCCGAGAAACAGTGGGGTCCGTTATGTCCCTGATGACTGGACCCAACCTAATATTGCCAATGCGGTCCGTGTGGTATCGTGAAAGGCGAAAAGAATTTTTCGTTATCTAAAAGAAACGGCTGGAGTGATAGAATAGAAACAAAATAGCAAAAACTGTCCTTGCTTCCACTCAAAAGACATTCTATTGTTTTTTTTTAATTTTTTCTATTCTATTCATTATAGATATAATTACTTACTATATATTTATATTAAGCAAAAAGCTTACGTTGGGTTTTTTAGTTATGTCGCATTGTTCGCGTGGATTACCTCAGCGTCCGTACTATTGGCTCAACTTCCTAAGGAGGCAGCCACGGTAAACATAACCTCACTCGTCAAAGGAACGTTTGACGCCAGATCCGCTTGCCTCGAGCGTTTTATATACATTTATTCGAATCGTCTGTTGCTGTGCGTTCATCGCATTCGGACCAGTTCCTATGCGCGACGAGAGAAGAAAAAACGCGTCACATTCCGGGCATCATTGGACTTCCTTCTATACGAACCGAGAGACCCTTATCGCGAAGAATGCTCAGAAACGACCGATCCCGAGCGACATAATTCAGGCGGTTCGGAATCTGCTTTGCGAACGTTTGCGATTTGCATAGTTTTGTGGCGGATTTGTTTATTTGCCGACACGTCATGTTCACGATCTTTTCTTCTTCTTCGTTATGGCTTAGCTTCCAAGCAGTCCGCCAGACATCTATCGGTTATCGCGTTCGATAGAGGCAGATCTCCATGGCGCGTGCGTATCAATTACAACAGACGAACGTTAGACGTTAACCTCAAACTATCCGTAACAAATTCGCCTTTATCGATGGATCCAGCTAATTAACGGGAATAAAATGCTGCGAATTTGGTTGGTATCCCCGCGGCTACCTACGCCGCTGAAACCCAGACCGCTTTATTTAATAACGGCCATAATCGCGAATTCACTTGAACACGGGTGCGAGAGACCCGCGCCTTTTTTGCGGCCGCGGCGCGACCAGACGGTCAAGTTTTTTCGCGTCCTTTTTAAATTTAATTATAAGACCGCCATTTTATTTGCCGGTCGCCGTCCGTCGGGGGTAAAAAAAACACCGCGTTCGTCGGACATTTTTTGAGTCCGCTCTTACTGTCAAGCATATTTCTTTAATAAGCAATATTCTCTTGTCTATGGCAGCTACCCCCCTTGAAAAAAGAAGAGGACATTTTCCTCGATTTCAAAATCTTAGAACTTTGTAAAAGAAATCTAATTTATAATAAAAAATTAAGTGATACTTAATACTTGAAAATGGATTAACCCAGTGGGAGTTGTAAAAAAAGATACATATTAAAATTTTATTTTAATTTTAAATATCATTAGGATGGATGAAACCCATAAAGTGGAACTGAATCTCAAATTTTTTTTTAGCTTTAAGTTCTTCTATTCATATATTAGGTTGGGATAAAACTATTAAGATGCGGTTTTAACTGAATATGTAATAGTTGCGCTTATTTTTGGTTAATTGATAACTTAGGATGCAGAGATATGCGAAAAAGCATTAAACAAAAAAATTTAATTTGTCTTTGGATTAAAAAAGTATCCTCTACAACTATCATTAATATAAGAAAACTTCGCAGAAAATGGGGTTTTAATTTAATTAAGAAAATAATTTGCAGGATTTTCTTTTGCTGATTTACTTGAAAAAAATCAAATTTAAAAATCATCCGTTTGCCTAAAAACGCACCTCACACATTATCCTATTTTTCCCATAAAAATGTCCCTTAAAAATCTACACAGAATGAGCTCAATCCACTAACGAATTCTACATCGGAAAAAGTGGACGATGCGTGTTAACAAAATATATAGAAGCTTATGACTACGCCGCTGCTAAAGCTGCAGCTTTATTGACTCTCACTGCGTGTTAAATACCGCATTGGAATATATCAAGCTATTACGAAAATATTAATTGGGTATATTCTGTTTTCCTGCAGTGTAAGCGTAATAAAAAGTAAAATTATGTCCAGTTGAGTGGTCTTCCATAGGCGTAGATGTGATATTGTATTTGAAGCCAGATTCCTTAAAATTGATAATTGATAACGTTGTACCTAATGACAAAACATAATAGTTTGTGTTTTTTTTTTTGGTATTGCAGTAAATTAATATAAACATTTTTTAATAAAAACTCGTGGTACACTTGTGATATTATTACTTTGCAATGCATTCCAAACGAATACCGTCGCTACATTTTAAACGCACGAAAACATTTATTTCACGTAATAATTCATTTAACAAGAATCAAGTCTTCTTCATCTTCCTAATGTAAATTGACATTTAGTTGTATAGGTCAGGGCAAAAACGTGAAATAATTACCAAGTTACTTCAAAATATTACTTAAAAAATCAAAAAAAGAAGATAAGACTTTGTATTATAATTGGATAATTAAAAATAAGAATATTGAGCCTTATATAAAACAAAGTATTAATTTATATTAATTTATTATCAATAGCACTAGGTATCAATACGAAAAATTACAATTCCATAGTCACGGTAACTTAAACATCGCATAAATAAGCCCAATAAAAACAAAGAAACGGGTCTTTCAGATCTAAAGAATAAGTAATAAACGCGGACGTTTCGCCAAGGTATCTTGGCTATATATATGCTATATTGTTTATATTATATGCTGCATTGAAATTGATGGATGATATACAGTAGAAAATTTCCATGTTGTCTACTAGAGGGGCAATAGGATATTAAAAATTTATTTGCACTTCTAAGCAGATCAGTTTTAAATCTTCAATTCTGTTTTATTAGGAAACTACCACAATCGGTCAACAATTTGTCATTGCTAGCAAAGTGTATTTCGGAAAGGAGTAAGAATAATATAACCTCATTAGATATGCAAAGGATCTACAGTGCGATCAAACAAATATTTAATCCACTTTCATTGTCTAGTTAAAAATTAATAAAAAAGTTAAACCGCAATAATTGTAATATATGCGGTAACCATTATTACAGCCTTTTCGTAATACTTAAATAATAAAATGGTTGTACTTTTAAATGCCGAAGGAAAGGAAAAACTAAAACTAACCAACCCAGGCGTTTGCCGTGGGTGGCACATCTAAAGGATTGGTGTTTTGGCTTAAAACTCGATATTTTTTTTTTGGACAAAATTTAAAATCCATTAATTGCTCAGCGTTTGACTAACAGCTAAAAAAAGTATTTTTTTTGTAAACCATAATTTTTGATAAAAGTAGCCATACTAGTCGCGCCCTAGAGCATGCTGTGGGAGGCAGGAACGTATTTAAAGAATTAAGAAATTAATTTAACCAATGATAATTCTTTTTGACATAAATGGGGCACAGATACTACTACTACATGTACTAAAAATAATAACAAAGTTAAATTTTGCTGAAATTCTTAGTGTTGCCTCAAGAATATTGTTGATTACACCAATAACTCTTGCAAATGGGGAAAGGAGTTTCTTTAACATAAACTAATAAGAACTTTGTTCGGGTTACGACAACAGTTAAAAAAAGTGCAGTAAGTGAGAAAGTGGGCATGAAAAGTTTTCTTTAGTTTGTGTAAACATGATAAAACATTTTTGTGATAGCATTAAAAATGCATTTTGTTAACATTTTGTCACCAAGGACAGTCTTTTTCAATTTTAAATCTATTATATATTACAATTAAATCACGAGATTTCTATTTTATGTTGAAGATAGGTAAATTAAGTACACGATTACGGTTGGGCAAAATCCCTTTGCCCGGAGCGGTTTTAACGGTTTTGCAGACCTAGCAATATAAAACTTTTATTTTCGAGTCTTTACGTAATCCCACTGTTCGACGCCAGTGTGAACCTTTCGTCATAAATTTTAACCGATGGATCGTCGTGCTTTGAAGTTACGCCACAGATTTTAATAACACCTTGTGCGGTTGACAAATAAAACCCTCCTTCGCCAAAGGAGACCCCCCACCTAGGCGGCAAGGTCTCGCGAACAATACCAGCTGCACCAACGCCGCTGACCTTTTACTAAACCCGCGAATTCCTATATCGGACTAGCGACCTTTACGCGACCAACATCTGCAACTCTCCACGCAGTACACGTACCTTTGGCATATCCTGCGGCAGCGACGAACGCCAACAGCATCCCCGCATAACAAACGAGCATCATCTCGGCGGCGTAGGGGACGAAACGGTCTCTTTTTCCCCAAAGACTCCTGCCTATCTATGTATACCGAAAACAATTGCGCGTCTAGCGCGTGTGAAAGTGAAATCGAGTCTTCTCGCAAATCAACCGCGTTTAACGCATCACGAAGAGGCGGGAGAGGGAGCCGTGTGGTACACCGTGCGCGACTACCTCGACGGTACTGAGTAGGTACCGTCGCTCGTGGTTCGAGTGCGGTTTGCGAGTACCACCGGTATTGCCGTTACCTTGATGTCTTTTCTTGTAGTCTGGGCGACAAGCCAGAGGCGTCGGCGGAGGCGCATTTCTTTAGCCGCCGCCGCCACCGCTGTGTTTTGTTCGAACGTGGGTGGGGAGGGGTTAAAAGGGTTACTCTGGTACCGCCGTGGCGGCGAAAGTTTTACGAGAGGATTTTTTTTTTAGTTTTTGTTGCATTTCTGGTTTAACGGGCGTCACTGTAGACGACGCACATTGGTCGGATTTTGGCAATAACTTCAAATATACAAAAGTGCAATTTTACGTTAAAGGACTTCAAACATCTAGTAGCTGATTAATACAAATTTACTGGCAACTATCGGTTGGTTTTGTTTTTGTTATAGGTATAGGTACTAAGATTTGTTATAATTAACATAAATGACAAATTTTTGACCGATTTTGGTAATTTCCTAATAAAATAATATTAATTTCTACATTACTCCTCGGGACTAAATTTATATTTTGTTTGTTGTTTGTGATAATTGACTTAAATAAATGTTAGTGCGTTTGTTAGTGACTTTTAGTTAGATTTTTCACCTTTTTTCCATTTTTTTGTCGTGACCCACCAGAATTAAAATTACATCCTGGGTCCGCGCGTCTACCGGGAGCATTACATTTATTACTTCTTGGTGCAGGTCTCTTTTGTTTCAGATATGAACAAATAGGACTTCTAAAAAGTTTTTAACAGAAGAAGAGCTGGTTAGTTGGAGCTGGATAATATTTCGGACAATAACTCAATCATTTCTGAAAATGAGCAGACAGGATTTTCAGACAATTCAATTGATGACGGAGACTTCGTTGTTGAAAGTGATGATAGATCAAGCTGGTCCAGTGCATCATGTTCTGAAGAAGATCCTGATGACAATATATCTCTCGCGCAATTATTCACAAGAAAAATATGGGATCGCGTTCAATGTAAGCCCTCAGAACGTTGGTGTTGATCCCAATCCAAAATCCCAAACCATTTTATTGATGATGAAACCATAAATCTATTTGTGCTTGAGGCAAACAGATTTGCTGCCCAACGAATTGCTGTTGCTAACACAAGGCAGAGAAACACGCTTCCAAAATGGGTGGATACTAATCCTACAGAAATGCGAAGATTTTTGGGTATCATATTATGGATGGGGCTTATTCCTCTGCCATAGGTGAGATACTATTGATACACTAAATCAATTTATCAAAATCGTATACGTTAAATTATTACTAGAAATTGATTCGAAAGTCTTTTATGGATGTTCCACGTGAGCGATAATGATAAAGATGATAGTCTTTACAAAATCTCAAACTTCCTAAATCTGCTTGAAAATAAGTTCAAGTCGTCTTACACCCCTGAAGAAGACCGTTTCGGGGAAGAATCTACTACGCCCGTACATTCTGAATAAGCGACACTGTTACGTCATAAAATAGTTCAAGTTATGCATTTCTGGTGGTTACACTTGTGCTTTCAAGGTTTACACCGGAAAGGAAAAAAGAGATGGTTTTTCCGTTTCTGAGAAGGTTGTAATGGAAATGATGGAAGGCCTTTTAGATAGTGGCCCCATAGATAACTGGAATACAAGTGTATCGTCGTCTAAAAGATTTATTGACAGGGAAACCCACTTAGTGGGAACATTAAGAGCAAATCGGAAGGGATATTCTCAGGACGTAGTCAAGGCTAAGTTGAAAGCAGAATGACGATATAATTCTAGTACTTATGTGGAATGACAACAAAGAAATTATGATGCTAAGTACAAAGCATGATGATGCTTCAATAAGGTTCATGAAAAAATGCAAAAAGATAAAACCCAGAGTAATAATCGACTACAACAAGGAGAAAGCTTTTATAGATCTTTCCGGTCATATGGCTGCTTACGCTCCATTTCTAAGAAGGGCTCTAAAAAGGGTTTTCTGTTCCACCTAACAACTGCTACTACTATGGTTAATCTTTTGCAAAAAATTAACAATAAAAAGATTAATATTACGAAATTCATAGAAGCAGTGATCATGGACCTTATTGAAGCTCCAGAGTTGCTTGATACCTCTCGTCCATCCACCTCAAGAGGACCAAAGCCGCGTTGCATCCTAAAAGAAGTAGAAGGTTCAAAAAGAGTAACACGAAAACGCTGCAGTAAATGCCACAGCACCATGTCAGTAACACACGGTGCAGTATACGGCCGCAAAAATACCAAAATGTGTCACTTGCGGGGTGCCCTTATGCATTGATTGCTCCCAGAAGCATGTAATAGTTATACTTCGATGTGAATTTTTTAATGTTTTTTGTTTCCAAAGTATTAACTTATTTTTTTACTTCCTATAGAGGAAAGTTGCCATGTTTTTTGTTTTTAGTATTTGTATAAAAAGTTTCTGTAGGTACGTAGTTTTTGTATTTTTAACGGTTCAAAAATGGTGCAACCAAATGTTTATTTTTTTAAGTAAAACCATTTGTTTTATTTGTATTTTAATAATATTTCGACAATAAATATGTATTCTCAAAGTAATATCAATTTTAAAATATTTTATTAAAAAAATTACCTAATAGTCCCAACTGCCCAATGTAATATTTTTTTTCTTACTTTCTGGGACCAATATACACGATAGTACGTGCTCACGAGTGGCCACAAGCATTTGAATTTACTGCTGGTGTGTGACCACCGGTGAGCACGGGCTCCCAAAAAGTAAAACACAAATACCCACCCGTGGGCACGCGAGTCTCAACGTGTTAAGTGGATAAATAAAAAATAATCTGCTCAGACATACACATGGTATCTTTTAAAGTTCTATTGGCACAATTGGCACAATACAAAGACTGACAACATTTTGTTACGAGGTACCATGTGTTAATTTTAATATCCACAAAACAGTTGAATTCATACACACCTAATCATGAACAGTTAAAACATTATTTCATATATTTATCGGATAGCTGAAAATTTATTTTTATTTATTTTCCAAGGCAAGAAATCGATAATGAATACTTAATCGAAAAATAATTAAAATAAATAAATAACTAAAACAAATTTTATAATAAAAAAACATTTAATGAAACTTGTCGTGTTTGAAAATAAAAAGATAGTTTTTGTTTCCGAATGCGTTTTATTTGTGTTCTTATTTAGCAAAATGAATGTTAATAAGAAATAATAATAAATCTGTGTAACAGCATATAGGTATTAGATAATCTAGTGGCCATAAGGAAGGTAAAATTTCATGCGCCTCAGATGGCTATATTTTCGTAGAGAAGGGAATGAATTTCCGCCCATGCCCTCAATTTTCCTTTCTAAACATAGCGATCTTCACATAGTTAACTCTTTTTTCGCTGAACATTTAAAAAGATTTCTCGTATCTCTTACGGTTTTAGAGTAAGCAATCATTGTAATTGCTCACGTTGCTTTAATTGCGGTAGATACAGACATAATAATTATCTCATTATGTGTCTCAAATACCAGTGGAATATCGTTTGCAACTAATTGATAGTACAAAGAAAACGCATTAAATTTTATTTTTTCGCCACCCTGTATTATACCACATTTTCGTCTTAAAATTAGGTGAGAATTCGCCTTCTTCCTTTTGTTAGAGAGATTGTTGGATTTTTTCATTGTTTTCTTCCTATAAATAAGACAATTTCATTTCATTCAATTTCAAAAAAATGTCTTTAATTTAAAATAAACATTATTTAAATACGGTGATGTTATTGTTTATTATTATTAAATCTACAAGTTCCTATTTGAAATGTTGATTTCGATGGTGATTTAAATAAATGATACAAAAACTAAAAGAAACCTAGTTCTTAATTTTAACTTAATTTTTGTCAAAATACAAATTATTTTCTTTGTTTTTGCTGTTCAATTGATGGTCTGTACATAGATATAAGAAAGTGACCAATTGCTTTTGAATGGGATTATCCAAGGGTGGTCATTAACATACAATGCAACAAGATTAGTACCTAAAGTTTCGGAATTAAAATTCAGATAAAGTTATGGTCCGTAATAGAAAATAATTTTATACCTACCTGTGTTTAATATTCTTTGGTTTGGTATACTACCTAGTTTAAGTTTATTAGTAATCATTCGTATTTCGTGTATAATACAGCGTGTGTTGAATCGTGTGCGAATTATGCAAAATATGTGCGAGTCTAGTGTATCTCAGGAGATGCTCCCGCCCAAATGTAGAAAACACCATTCTATTGAGACTAAAGAATTTATAAACAATGTTTATTTGACTCTCATTGAACGCGGTGCCAGCAAGCAAGCATCTTTAGAAGGAACGGCCACATTGACGAAAATTCCAACATCAAATGTGGAAAATTGTGAATAATTCCATTTCAGCGAGGGAAAAAAGAAGCTTTGCTGACATTTTCTCGAGTGTAGATGAAAGTGATCAAGATATAATACGGCGTAAAATTTACCAGTTATATGCGGAACAAAGCGTGCCTACATTAGATATCTTAATTAGGAGGCTTGAAAAAGACGAAACCGGTGTTAAATGTGGCCGAACTACCTTATGAAAGTGTATTCAACACATGGGTTTTAGATTTTAAAAAATTGACAAAAGGCAAGTTTTAATGGAATCTCTTAGAATTCGGAAATGGGGACTGGAATGTCTAGAAAAAATTATGATTTGCAGAGATCAACAAAGGCCAATTATTTACTTGGATGAAACCTGGTTCGACACTTACGATACCCCGGAAAAGGGTTGGGTTGACTCAACTGATAAGTGTAAAACAAACGCGCCATCAAAAGGAGGTAAAATAATAACTATTTTACATGCTGGCTCTAAAGATGATTGGATTCCAAATGGACTTTCTCTCTACCTGCGAAAAATATTAAAGATTCTTCTCTGGATTACCATGAAGACACCACCGCTGATTTATTTGAAAGTTGGTTTAAAAACACACTAGTTCCAAACATTCCTCCTAATAGCGTCATTGTAATGGACAATGCAAGTTATCACAGTAGACAGTTGACTAAAACCCCTTCCTCATGTGACACAAAAGCAACAATCCAAAACTACATGTATAATAACGACATTTATTTTCACGAAGAGTATACCAAAAAGCAATTAATTGAGGTTCTACAAAAGGATTACATCTGTGATAATTATGCAAAAAATCTAGGGCATACAGTTTTAAGGCTTCCACTGTATATTTACTCCCATTGAACATGTTTGGCACCAACTGAAATCTGCCATTCGTCGTAACAATGCTTTTCCCCGCGTTAACTCCAATGTTCTCAAACTTATAGAAACCGAAGTTTTTAACATCCCTCCACAAAGTTGGGCAAATTCTGTTAAACATATAGAAAAAGCAGAACAATCGTATATCCATATTGCAAATAATATAGAACAAATAATAATTAGAACCGGCGATGATAGCGATAGTGATACTAATATATTATGTGAATAATTTTAATTAATTTAAGTACGTAATAAAATTAATTTGTAATTTTATTTTAGATTTAAACATAAATACATACATAAATAAATAAATATTCTGTAGTATCTTTCCTAACAAAACTCCAAATAATTAAATTCTAAGCAAAGTACGGACCTGTTCGGCCATATTTCATTCTTACAGCTTGCCCGGGTCTTTCCTTATTTCGTATCAGTTAGTCACGTTCTTATATCTATGACCACACTTTACCACAGAATACTAAGTTATACGCTTGCGTGTTTTATTCACTTATGAAAAAATAATGTACTTGCATGACATGTGATTCAATCGGCCACTTTGCTTAATATTTTGAGGATTTCGCTAACGATTGCGGAAACATTTTTTTCGCACATTTTTCTTTATAAAAATTTTATTATTCCAAGTAATTATTTTCGTCTGACATTAAACCCGAGTAAATTGCGGGTCATTAGCTTAACGCCCCGCCCCCGCCCGTCTCCGGGAGTCCGTGGCCTTTTTTAAATCTCTCGGAGCATTGTCTCGTCGGTCTTTATTAGGAGTCTTCGCGCCATTTTAATAAATTATACCGACGCGGTTTGATTGTTTTTTCCACCAGATTTTCCGCGCAGATAATCGAGAAATATGCACGCGTCGTGTACCCACTAAATGATCGTCACAACGAACCCGGAAATTGGTTTCTTCAGCCATTTCTTAAGCCTCAATTAACTGGGAAATATTTAGATTATTATTATATTATTAAAATGGGGAACAAATTCAACCTTTGTCCAATGATTAAAATTATATAATTTTTCCATAAATAAAATATGCTGTTGTTTATTTTCTTTTTTATTTTCAATAATTTGTTTTTATAATCTTTTTTGTTGACATTTCTCCTTCATACGTCTTCTTAATCCGATTATTTTATTTTAAAGTTATTTTTAGAATTCAGCGTTCAAAAATGGTTTCAAAACTTTCAAAAATGAGCTACATATTTATTTCTTTATCATTTTCTTTGCTTTGTTTAAATATATTGGCATCCAATTGTTTCTATTATTTTTTCGAGCGTTTATGTTTATACCGTTTATGTTTATATTGTCCACACTGGCCGTTAATTGCCTCCTTGTCGAGTTTTCTCTTTTAGGCGCCTTTTTTTATGAATAAAACCACAAACAATAACAAAATAATAAATTTATTACCGTTGGCACTAATCGACGAACCCCCTGCCGACAAAAACTATCGCAACAACCAGCACTACACTTAAGTAGGGCTCAACTCTATTCCCGCCACCACTTAGAGCTGACCCGTCCAAGTCCCTACACTGTTCCCCGTAAAACTTTCTGACTGCGTCTTTGCTGTTCTTCGCCAGAAGACAGAGCTGATAGGTGTTGTGCAGCACATCGTTGCTTCGCAACTGGTCAGCGACGACTGTCTCGAATTTCCTCTGGGAATATGACAGCGTCGTCTGGTAGAGGACTTCCAGAGGGCTATTTGCATTCCTCACCACCAAATATACGTCCGCTATGTCTTCGTTTTTCATCACGCGCCATTTCATGCGCAGCATGTTTTTCTTGCTGTAATCGGACAAAAGAAAATTATATAGAAAAATCAAAAGCAAAAAATTTTGACACTTAAATCTCGAAAACGAAGAATTTAAGACCACAATTTTATAGTAGCATGAAAAATGCTTGAAAAATCACACTGTGAAATAGCGGACACTTATTAAATATCACCCTGTATTGATTCCCAAAACCTTTTGTCGGTATCACTTCTAAGGAGTCGGCCTCCTTTTTGTAGTAGCGGATATTTTTATTTTATATACAGGGTGTCACATAAGTAATGGTACATGGCAAAATAGAAGATTTTTTAGGTAAAAATAGTACGAGTTAACGAAACTTACCTTAGTTCAAAAGTTGATGACAACCGAAATATAGGGTGTCAATGTTGCAAATTTTTGTTTTTTTTAAATAATTCCTGAAAAAATTGAGCTCTTTGCAGAAAAATCGCAATCGGGGTTTTTGACATAAGAAATCCATTTTGTTGAATAATTTTGGTTCAAATTGTAAATGGCGCTGCGTATGTACCTTTCGTGCATTTGATGCCTCCTGCAGATTTTTAATAAAAAGATAACTTCTTACACCTTTTCGACACACTTTCACCCCGAGTTGCCGTTTTCGAGAAATTCGCATTTAAAATTTTCGTTGCACCTGTTTGAATAATTTTATGCGAACATGCAAAATAATTCAAAGTAGGCTTTGACTAACATAATCACAATAAAAGACAGTAAAATAGTGCAAAGACAGGCACGATGAAATAGTTGCTAAAATTTTTAGAGTAGGCTGTGACCAAAACAAATGCGATAAAGGCACTTCGGTTCTGGTTAATTTCTTTGTTGTTTGTGAGTATCTTGGGTGTGAGTTTTCCGACAACGCCAAGACATAACTTGCTTTCCAACATGATATGTTTATCCGCAGAAGAGAATTATAATGTGCGTCGAGGTCATATACGTTATTCGAGGCTGTTTCCAAACCGAATGCGCCCAGATTTTATAATTTTTAAGAATATTTATAACACACTCGGCGAGACTGGTTCGTTCCGCCCCAAGAGGTATTCTGTGAGGCGACTAAAAGGATTACACCGGGCCTGGAAGAGGAATTTTTAGTCCAAGTAGCTGAAAATCCGAAAATAAGCACAAGTGAGCAAATCTACAGTTTGTAGAGTTTTTCACCAAGGAAAGCTTTATCCACTTTACTGTTGTGCAAAATCTTTTAGAGGGTAATGTAATATTCTAGCCAGATTGAAATTTGCTCGTTATTGTCATTTCCAATGGTTTTAAATAAAATAATGTTTACAGATGAAACAACATTTACACGCAGAGGTGTCTATAACTTTAGAAATAAGCAAGCGCGGGATCTAGAAAATTCCCATTTGACAACTGAACGCCATTTCCAACAGGAATCTAAAATAAACGTTTGGTGCGGAATAATTGAAAATTACATGTTAGGACCCATTGGACCACCACCCAATTTAAACTGAATCATTTCGAAACGAGAAATTATTATTTAAAATCAGGCAGTATTTCAATAAAAGTGTCTCTAAATGCATCACAGTGAATGGAAATAATTTTGAACATTTTTTGCCGAATAGAAATATTTTTATACGAATATTTTTTGTATTTTACTTTAGTTTAAAATTAAATTTGTATTTCCATAAAATGTTTTTCATTGACGTAGAATTTTTTTTGAGTGTCTTGCAAAAATCTCAAAATAAGTAATATTAAAGACTGTTATGGGCTGTACTACCATATTAGCTCCACTATATCCATTATCTAGATTATTTTAAAATTGATAGAATCAAAAAATGAAATTTTAAATATTAGATAATTATGTACTGAAAGTTTGAAATTCAAATTTTTCGAAAACGGAGAATTTTAAAAGGTAAAAAAGGTGTAAGGGGTAATATCTTTATTAAAAATATGGATACACCGAGGCGCAAAAAATGCACGAAATTTGCTCGAAAATTATTCACGAAAATGGATTTTTCATGTCAAAAAACTCCGATTTGATTAAATTGAAACATTGACACCCTGTATCTCGGTTACTATTAAGTTTTGGACCAGGAAGGTTTCATTAAATCGTAATATTTTTACCTAAAGAATGTTAAATGTTGAATATCATTGCGGATTGCAGAAATATCGGTTGTGATTCTATACGAGGCATACTCAAATATTCTTGATGCTAAAGAGGAAGGAATTTAATACTTCAAACACATGACTGTATGTACGAATCAGTGTTTTAAAACTAATTGTGACAGAGACGGTGGAGCCGCCGAACCAGGTCGTTAACGGTCGGATTCTTAATCAGTTTTTTTTTTTGGGTAAAATTGATCGTTAACCCTGTTAAGACTAACTGTCCGGTCTATGATGATAATTAAGTTTCAGAGACAGACACCGACCATCTGATATTTTTTTATAACTCATCGTTAAATTCGCTGTTAGTGTGCTATGGTCTAGACGTGCTCCTTTACGCTGCAATTAGGTTAAAATTTGGAAAATATTTCGCATAAACGTCAAAAACAAAAAAAGGAGCGCAATAAAAAAACGTATATATTGGCCAACTTTTTTTTTTAATTTGAGGTTTATTGCTTTAAAGTAGACTATAAGTTTGATTGCCTACTTGGAAAATATATTTTTCTACTACCATCTGTAAAGTGCCTAATTACACACCGATTTGGAGTACGGGAAGAGTCACATTACAACGTCAGTTTCGTTTCGCACGGATCGGAGCCACTTCGGACATTTCCGTGATTTTACCACATCCGAGATATTTCCCAAGCCTTGAATTTTGACGTTTGTCAATTCTGACGGTCATGTCAAAAATAAACCCAAAAATTAACGGTCGTAGAAAAAGTATGCAACACGTTTCGTAAACTTTTTAAGTCACTCGTTTAATTATTAGGAACGGGTAGAACGGAACACATCACAAAAATAAATAGCCAGTCTTAAAGTGTGCCTTATCTCAAAATTAAAAAAAATCCTGTCCTAACTCGAAACTTAACAGTTTTGCCATTTCTATACAGTATTACTTCAAAATTTTGTAATTCCGGAATAAAATGCGAAATTTTACCCTAAAATTTCGAAATAAAACGCGAAATTTTACCCTAAAATTTCAAATTTAAACTCGAAATTTTAGAATGGAGTTTCTTTTTTGCGTAGAAGATTCCATAAGAAAAATTCTAACCCTACATTTGTATGCATCTGTCGGGAATCGTGTTTACATTAAAATAATTTTAGGTTAGTTGATTAGTTTCTTTCTTACAATAAGATACAATAATACTTTCGCGTTAAAGTTTTGAGTGAATTCACGAAGATTTAATATTTATATTAATTTAATATTGAATATCAAAATTTCGAGTAAAAACCAAATTTTACCCTGGGTTGTTATTTCTAAATCAGGGAAGTTAATTTTTGTATTTCTATGACGGAGGAAAGTTATACTCACAGCGTCAGTTCGCGGAACTTAAGGTCGGGCAGCACCCCGTAGTCGTCCGCCGCCATCCCCTCGAGCATAATGGTGGTGTTAACGTTCGGTGGACACACGAGTCGCTCTTCTGGGAGCTCGTAAAGCGACGAGCCCGCCAAAGGAGCCGGGCTGGAGCACCGTATCGCTTTGTAAAACTCCTTCAAGTGGAGCTGACGGGAGAAGTGACGGATCAAGGGTCGTAGCAGACAGTCGCATCTCAAGGGGTTGCCTGAAGAGGACCGATAGTATTATAGAGCCGCGCGGTTTAATTTCGACTTAATACGCGTCGGTGCATCCCGACAGAAGTGCGATTTCCAAAGGGATTATAGGAAAAAATTATGGTGGCGCGATCGTGTGGCGATATCTGCCTCGTTTATCATTATTTCGACAAAAAGGTTCAATAAGCATAAAATCTAAAGGCAATATGTGGGGTGTTTCTTAAAAAGTGCGGCAACACACAAGCTTATTATTGAACGTTAACAATAATTAACAATTTATGCGTAATTACTTCATCCCTTTGTTACTTCGCGCAAGAATTGTACGCTTCGTCTCGAAGACTCAAATATGGAAAAACATTAGATTTAAAAGCAAATTAACTTAGAGAATGTCCAGTAGACAGATTATGTGTTAAAATTGTTTGATCCATTTTATATTAGTAAGAAGAATAAATGGTGTGTTGGATAATATACTACTACTACTCCCGTCTGCAAAATACCTAATTACGCACCGTTCTAGTGTGCGGGAAACGTCACTTTACCACGCCAGTTTCGTTTCCCACGATTTTACCGCACGGGTTTGGGAGCAATCGGATGTTTTCGGAGATATTTCCCACGCTTTGAATTTTGACGTTTGTCATTTCTGACAGTCATGTTAGTGAATGTCGTGTCAAATAAACTCGTGAGTCAAATGCCGTTTACCGCACTTGTTGCATAATATACTATTTTCTACGACCATTAGTCATGACCGTCAGAATTGACAAACGTCAAACGAAAAAATCCGATTGCTCCCCAACCCGTGAGTAATATCCCCAAAATGTCCGAAGTAATTCGCAGCCGCAGATAACGTAGCTGTGTATTATTGAATATTTTAGGTAAAGAAGTAGAAAAATACGTTTTTTAAGTTAAAACGTTACTAAATAATGATTTTTTTCTACTCCCGTCTGGAAAATACCTAATTACACACCGATCTAGCGTGAGGGAAGCGTCACTTTACAAAAGGTCAGACATTTCCGGGATTTTACCGCACGGGTTTGGGAGCAATCGGATGTTTTTGGAGATATTTCCCAAACCTTGAATTTTGACGTTTGTCATTCTGACGGTCATGTCAATATCCGTGTTGTTTTGCGAAAATGTACCCAAAAACTAACAGTCGTAGAAAAAGTATAGTATGCAACACTCGTTGCATAATATACAATTTTGTTACGTCTAGTGTAAATATAAATGAAAATCCTGAGTTTCCTTTATGTCGTTTATATGTCTTTTTATGTTTTTTTTTTGAGCAAGTGTCACATAAATAATATACTTTTTTAAATAGACAAATGTGGAAAAGTGTGAGAATGTCGATTTGTGATTCGAGAGTGCACTGCATTCAGAAAAGTATTAGTAGGATTATTGGACAACTAATTACTTAGTTGCATTTGTAAGTAAGCATTTTAAGGTAATTTACTATTTCATGGTGCAATGAACGAATATCGTTCGATTTCTATTTCTTTTCTATTCAATTTGAAAAACATTTTTATTAAAAAAAGCTATTTTTAATTAAGCAGGGTATTAAATCCATTATAAAGTTAACGTATTTTTGAATATGATTAAAGAAAATTAATATTACGGAAAACTTGAATCAATCGGTATGGGGGAACTTAAGTCAAAGTGATATAGGGGCAGTAAAAAACACTTAAACACTTAAAAAATTTCGTGTTTGAAATAACTACTTAGGGGGTTTACTAAACCCTTAAAAATGCATTTGACTACATTGAAATAAATTTTTAATATTATAAAGCAGTTGAAAGATGCAGGTATCATAGTAGTAAAACTTGTTTTAAAAAAAAATCATTTTGCGAATAACTTGGCAACGTAGCATTAAAAGCCTTCCTTTGAAATATCGTAATATACAAAAATGTATAAGGTGTTCTGTTCAAAAAATTTGTTTATTTAAAAATTAACAATTATTAAAACATTTTCTCAAAATAGTGATAAATATCGGTAATACATCGACTTTTTAAAAATAATGTTTTGATTTTATGTAACACTATTTAAAACATTTTTTCAAAATATTTACAGCCATAGCAGATCGGCCATTAACTTTACCCTGTAAACTCCAGCCTCTTTGTCAGCGTTACAACTACATAGTTACCTTGGTACATGACGTCGACCCCCCTGACCGCTAGTTCGGTCATTTCCGGTCCGAATTCCGGGATCCGGTTGTCCCTCACGTCCAGCACAGAAAGCTGCGTCGCGTTCAGCACGTGATGCCACGGCAATTCGGTCAATTCGTTACCACCTAAACGCAGAACCGAAATATTCCGGGGCAACCGGAACAATTGCGGTTCGCTCGTCAGGTCGTGCAGCTGATTGGCAGAGAGATCCAACGAAGTCAACATCGACAGGTTTCCGATTACACCTGCGAATAATTTGCCCTCGTAATTAAGCGTTGTTGCAGGGGTGGAACGTGGAATAGGGGGAGGACAGGGTGAATTCTGGTTTCAATAGGACGACAGAATTTAACTGCCCGAATACTGCCTTAGTCATCATTTTGTGTGTGCGCGCTCTTAAAACTATGTTACGTAATGTCCAATTATTTGAGTGTTATTCTTTAAAAAAAAAACTTGAAAACATTCACTTTGTCTTTTGACGAGACAAATATCAACATTTTCGTTCTGTTTGACAAGAAATTGGTTCTGTTGATGTTTTACGGGAAATGCGTCAAAATTCTGTTTCATATTCGTCTTTAGATATTTGACAAATATTCTACTTAATTTGACGAAACATGAAACTGTCCGTTCTATATGATATTTGATGTAAAATATGTCAAACTTATCGTTCCGTTTGACACTTGCCTAACGAAAGGTCACAAATTAGATCATAGATATCTGACATTAAAGAAAATTAAATTTCGCATTTATTTTTTATGCGCCGTAACGAGCATATGACGTTCAAATTTGCCTCAGATTTTATTTTTACATAATCGTCAATTATTTAAGAGTTATTCTTTTAAACAGATGTTGACGTAAATATGACGTTTTAATTGACCATTTCATTTGACACTGGCTCAAAGAAACGCCATAAAAAAAAACATAAATGGCATAAAGGACACTCAGATTTTCCATTTATAACAAAAAGAAAATGATTGTCGTTTAACAGAAACAGACATTCTTTCTGAGAACTTGACGAAACAGCACAAAATTTCTGTTCTGTTTGCGATTTGGCGGACGAAACGTTAAATATGACGTCACAATTTACCTTTCCTCAAGTCGGCGATGGCGTTATGGGAAAGGTCGAGCCGTTCCAGTTTCGATGTCCCGAACAACAAATCGTGCGTTATAACCGGGATGTAGTTGTGGGAGAGATCGATCTCCCTCAGCCTGTAGGGGATGTAAGGATTGCTCGGGAACATCTTGCGCGTTAAAAACGTGATCTTATTGTGGCTCAAGTTCAGCTGGTGAAAGGCGAAATGTAAACACGTGCGAGTTGGCAAAGTTGACATTTTTATTTTTTTTTCCTTAAAGGCGACTAAGGATTAATCGCTTACCCTTTCGAGGGACAGACAATCTTCGAACACACCGTGCGTTTTGTTGTCCAGTTTCACGAGCCTGTTTTGTGACAAATCCAAGGTGTTGAGCGCGACCAGACCTACACAATGTGGTAATTGTACCCATAGGCGCATGTTGGGCAAGTATATGATGCGTTTTATTTTATGATTTCGACTTTACTTGTTAATACGAAAAATGTTTCATAAATTTGGGATATACGTACTCTGTTGTGTAAGTACTAGTTGAAAAACCAAATGTTTTGAGTATATATTCGGCATTGCAGTAATAGTTGAAATTACCAAATAGCCAGGAAATGATTTTTAGCTTCTTTCAAGAATTGGACTGAGGACTATTTGGTAAAGACACGGTGTTGCTGAAACAGCTGTCATAAATCATTAAAAACTATGAAAATCAGAACATTTTTTGTTCTAATTTAATTTTTGTTACATGGATTTTCATCAAGTAAAAGTCATCTTAGTCCAATTCTTGAAAGAAGCTGAAAATCGTTTCCTGGCTATTTGGTATTTTAAACTATTACTACGATGGCGAATATATACTCAAAATATTTGGTTTTCCAACCAGTGCTGATACAACAGAATATACCCCAAATCTATGAAACGAAAAATGTGGTGGTTGTCTATTTTTTTTTTTAATTTTTGTGCATTTCTTGTGCACTATTATAAAAATAAGATAATACAATGGCCCTACTACACCAAAAATTGATGCGCCGCAGACTGAATTGATATTTTCGTAGAGATGTTAACGATTTTCCGCACATGCCTATACATTCCACCCACTAATCCGCACTTTGCGTCATTTTCGTTTGATCTCGCTCATGCGCAATTCTCTTTTTTTTTGTCATAATTGCAGCGTCGCTATATGGTGGTAACGCAACAGCCATTTTCAAAAACCCCATTTATTAATTTTAAGGCTTACTTGCGCCACTATGTAAAACTGCTGCGAAGCATAACAAGCTTTATCATTAGTTCTGTAAGCCTAACGCTATAAATTTTTCCAATATTTTCCAAAAAAAAAACCACAGCCTCAAATGCACGATCTTATCGTATTTTTTAACTGGTCTATTAATAATCGAGATGCTCCGGGTCCATTAAAAACGTTTTATTATTTAATTATATACCGTATCTGGTTAAGTCTGTACCATATGGGAAACTTTTTTATTCTTGCTTTTATGAAAAAAATTAAACAAACCGTCCATATTAAAAGAGACTTTGATTTTTTTTTTAAAAAACTGGACTTAGTTTGTTTTTCAATACTTTATCAAAAAAGTTATTCTTTATAAAAAGTTCTGCTTGGTCTAAAAAATGCTAAAATTTCTTAATTCGTAAGCAAGTTTGTCAAAAAACATGAATTTGAAGTTAAATTAAGAGTAACTTTATTTTTTTAAATATCGACCATTGTTATTACGAAAACTTGATTATCCATTCGCCATGAACACTTAATTTTCGGTAAGATTCAATTTTGAAAATTATAAATTTTATTTAGATAGATAAATTACCAGTTCATTATTAAGTTCTGGAACCAAGTTCTATTCCATTGTAATCGCTAATGCATACATACCTTATTACTTTATATTGCAAATCAAAAGATAAACAAATTAAGTAATATGTAATATTTTATTGAGTTGACTGTTACTTGATGATAATCCATTACATACGTAATTTAATAAAAACAAACACTTGCTTTAAGATTACCACACACATGTTTATTGCTTTGACGATTGTTTCGGTACACTGTACCTTCTTCAGAAAGAATCTCTAAACTAACTATCACGGGGTTAATTACAGACTATCCATACAGTAGGTAGTAGAATCTTTATCTAAGGGTTTAAGAAGGGATAATTATTTAAGTCGGTTTGATCGTTTAGTAGCAAACTTGTAAATTTCTGTTTATTAATTTCTATTGTTTCTAATAAGTTAAGTTTTTTGCTTTTGCCTTGACTATGTAATATTTTAACATCGTTATTGAAGGAATGTCCTGTTTCTATTAAATGATTACTATAGAGTCATTTTTAGAATTCAAGAATGAACTTTTGTGTTCTTGGTGATTTCACTTGGTGAAATAATAGCTAGGTGAAATAATAGCTAAAAAACTTAGAAGGCTAAATCGGAATATTGCTTTTAAATGTAATAGGACATTAGGATCTGTAATTAAAAATAATAAAACGAAAATACATAAGTTATGTAAGTCGGGAGTATACAAACTAACATGTGGATCTTGTCCAAAAATATACATAGGTCACACAGGCAGAAGTTTCAAGAAACGGATTCAAGAACACAAAAGTTCATTCTTGAATTCTAATAATGACTCTAATTATAGTAATCATTTAATAGAAACAGGACATTCCTTCAATAATGATGTTAAAATATTACATAGTCAAGGCAAAAGCAAAAAACTTAACTTATTAGAAACAATAGAAATTAATAAACTGAAATATACAAGTTTGCTACTAAACGATCAAACCGACTTAAATAATTCTCTCCTCTTAAACCCTTAGATAAAGATTCTACCTACTGTATGGATAGTCTGTAATCAACCCTGTGATAGTTAGTTTAGAGATTCTTTCTGAAGAAGGTACAGTGTACCGAAACAATTGTCAAAGCAATAAACATGTGCGTGGTAATCTTAAAGCAAGTGTTTGTTTTTATTAATTACGTATATAATATACAATAAATAACATTCATATTAACAATATCAAAGTTAACTTTATTTTTTTTTGTGTCATAAAATTTAACTAGCAATTTGATTTGATGAAAACGTTAGATAGGTAATATTGGATATATGACAACATATTTGAATGATCAATTTTTGTTAATAACAATTGCAGACATTTTATAAAATAAACCAACTTTACTCTTGCATAAAATTTATATTTTTAGACAAATCCTGTATACGGCACAACCAATTTTTTAACTGGTGATTGTATTTCAAGTTTATAGATAGAGTAAAATCGTGAACGATTTTTTAGAATACACACGACGCAAAACACAACAAACACGTTCCTAAAGTCTTGCAGAAGGCACTAACAATGACAATTTTTATGTTTCTAGTATTTCAGTCAATATTTTAAAGTGACAAACTCTTTTTGCGAAGCGCTTTATCTATGCTACGTTGAAATTAACGATGTATGTATAATATTACTATTATTAAAAATCAGAAAACAAAATCAACGAAGTGCCCTTCGACACTTGCAGATTTTTTTCCGAAAAATGCTCATTTTTACCGACTGTGCGACGTGGCAACTTACCCTGAAAAGCGCCGTTAGGTATGACAGTCAAGTTATTGTTGTTCAAGTTCAGGCGGATTAGCTGGAGCAGCCCTTCGAACGCCCTCGCCGTCACGTTGTTTACGTTATTGTCCTCTAGGTCGAGCTCGAACATCGTAGGCATCTTGCCAAACGCGTTCCGTTCCAGCTTCGTGAGATTGTTGCCCTACATCGGACGCCGCGACGCCATCAATTAAACTCGCACCCGCTTCGCCGCGTCAATTAACTCGCAGTCGATTTGAAAAAACCGACTCGATTTTCGAATAAAGGAGACGGACGTTTAAAATAAGAAAAATTTTGGAGAACAGGCAATTTATTTTAGAACTTGCAAGTAATTATCTATAATTCTTCTATAACTCGCTTCTAAACTTTGAGCACATTTTAGAATAATAAAGAGAACATAACAATTCCTAATAACTCATTTTTTAAAAATGGTTACAAAGATGCCTAGTCCCTATTTCACAAATAATAACTCTTGAATAGCACTAACTATTTTTTTAAAGGAATGCGTTTCCTCCAATTAATTCAATGCAATTCCTCAAGAACTCACTATTTATTAAAACGAGTACGACAATGGCTCGCCTCCAAAGAACTCACAGTAACTCTTCAATAACTAATTTTTTTTAGGAATACGATGATGCGTTGAATTAGTATGAGCAGTACAAATGCCATGCGACAAAAAGAAAACGAAAAATAGATGCCTGGTGGAAAACAGCGAGTTATATGGTCATTTGAGCAACACAGCTTCTTCATTTTGAAGGCACAATTTTAGATAAAGGTGCTAAAATATACTTGACTTGCAATAAAGAACAAGTACTCCACTCGCGGACAGAACGAAAACGCACTTGATAGGCCTTCTCAATTTTAAAGTGCTCTTACCTTCAGATACAAATATTGCAAGGACGTGAGTTCGCTGATAGGCGCCCACGGCGGCCTGGTCGCTCCGTTATAATTCAGATTGAGCCTCTGCAAAGTGAGCAGGTTCCCGAAGCTGCCGTGCACTAGGTTATCCCTCAGGTTGTTATGGCTCAGGTCCAGGCTTAACAGCGAGTTCATCGAGGGCCACTGCTTTGGCGGTAGTTCGGCGAACTCGTTGTGAGACAAATCCAGCGAGGACGTGGATATGGGGAGGATGAAGAGCGACGTGAGTTTGTTGCCTCGCAGAATCAGGTCCCTCATGCTGGCAAGTCTAAGCAAACCCAAGAAAACAACGTCGAAACGTCGAGGCACAAATTACACCCACCTGGTCAAAGCGCTCTTGGCGATGTTCTCCAAACGATTGTAACTCATATCCAGGTAGAGGAGGGTGGGTACCGGCCCGAACGTGCTCGGTTTGATCGACTGCAGAGAGTTGTGACTCATGTTGAGGTACCGCAGGGAGAAGAGCGTTTGGAACACCGCGTTGAAGATATCGGATAGGTTGTTGTGAGCCAAATCGATCGTGTGAAGTTCATAGAGTTTGGGGAACGTCTTCTTGGGTATCGACTCGATAAGGTTATGAGAAACGTTGAGGATTTTCAAGCCGGACATGTTGTGCAGGGGGATCTGAAACTCGAACATTATCGCGTGACTCTGGGTGCAACGAAGTGTCAACCTGGTCCAGGCTGGTGAAGAAGTTGTACGAGAACTGCAGCTCCGTCGCGTAAGTGGTCTCGTCGAAGGCTTTTTTGGGCAACGACCTGAGCTGGTTGTAGGAGAGGTCGAGTCGAGTGATGTTGGCGCAGTTCTCGAACGCGCCGATTTCGATTTTGCTGATGTTGTTACGCGAGAGGTCGATATTGGTCAGGTAAACGTCTTTGAACGCGAGCTTTTGAATCTCGGTGACATTGTTTTCGGACACGTCGATGACCTCGATGAGATTCAGCTGATAGAACATCTGATAGTCGATCTTTCTGATTAAGTTGCGTGCGAGATCGATCGTCCCTATCCTCTGCAGGGATCCGAACGTACCCCTTCCGACGTCTGAGATGAGATTGTCGGAGAGGTAGAGTCGGCGCAGGAACCTCATGCCTCGGAACGAATTGGTGTCGAGTTTTTTGATTTTGTTGAAGGACATGTTGAGAACTCTGAGCACCGTATTGCGGGCGAACGCTCCCCTATTTTTTAGTTAGTTTTTGACAGGAAGTTTTTTTGGAATATTATTATACAGGATTACACGAGCTATATGGAATATTGCAGTCAAAAAAATAGTTTTTGGGATATGGTGAGGTACTTTCAAATACCATAGGGCAAAAAACGTGACGTATTAGAATACATTTTTCAACGCCCTGTATATATTCTTTTATAATTAAGATAAAAACTATGGTGTATTCCCACACTTAAATACTTATTAGGTATTGGAGAAATAGAAACTATAACCCAAACTAAATTGTGCAAAATATAAATAATTAAACAATGCTTAAAGCCTTGTTGAAAAATACACTAATCTTGACCACAGAATCCAAAAATACTACCATATACATTTAAAAAAATACTACTTTGATACGTTTAGAATTTTTGGAACGGACTCTATAATATCAAATAAATTTTACAGCGTAACATAGTAGACTCCCCTCCATATCACAAAATGAAAAAATTTGAAAACCTTGAATTTTGGACACGATATTCTGTGACGTATAGCGTGAATAATTCCATATATATTCTTGCATACCTCGTCAGTTCTGTGAGTTGGTTGTGGGAGACGTTGAGAAACGACATTTTGGTAAGGTCGCCGAGATGGGTCGAGTCGATTTTTGGTATGCTATTGAAGCTGAGATCCAGCACCTCGACATCTCTCAGACCCTTGAACTGGTTCCGTTTCAGGGCTTTTAGGTCGTTACCGTGCAAGTCGAGAGTTTTTAGCTTCCTGTACGCAATCATAAAAATAATAATAATGAATGTTTATTTATAGTAAAGAAAATTGCAATCACCTAAACAAACTATTAACTGCAAATACAGGTTGTTATTGAAATTACCTTATATAATACAATGAATGAACCTTATAGTCGAGAGACAAATGGCAAAAATACTCTTCACAACGGTTGCAGCGTATTTCAGAATTGCTCCAAAAATGTTGTTGCTATTGAATAAACTACCCTTTATGGAATGAAATGTTAAAGGTGTAAGGTCAGAAATTACCGCCGACCTTATGCTATAACTATTTAAGATTTTTGTTCATTGTTGCTAATTAATTGAAATCGGCGCAAAATATAACCTGTGTTATAATAACAGCACAAATAGACGGAATTGTTGGTGAGTTTTATAGCATAACCGTGTAAAAGATTAAATTTTGTGACAGATGTTCTTATTTTGAAAATTGATTTTATATAATTTTAGTGGGCTGATAAGAAAAATTCTATGCATTTATTTGTATCACGTAAGGTTTTCTGCAAATATTAAAGGAGAAAAAAATGATATTTCTAAAATGATTTATTTTTTTATTCAGTAAATAAGTGGAATGCTAGTTTAAAAAAGTGAAAAAAAAAACTTGAGTCAGACTTTTTTGAGTAAAAGCGTCGTCTTTTTGCAAGAACGCTGCGTTGTCCGGACATTCGGCTGTGTGATTTTAAGGACATATCCCGTTTTAACATCCAGCAGTATCCGCCATCATCGTTATGCTCCATCTGTTTTGAAAATTATTGCCTTTGCATAATGTGGGCCCAACATAAATACTTACTTTTACTTTAGCATCAGATATGGCTGGAAATTTCTGACGCAAATATTTGAAACACAACATTTTTGTCTAGGGCTTAAACAAACTGCTGTAAGGCTGTAGAACGTTTTCTAGAGGGCCATTCTATTTGAGTCCAATGGCTATCTCTTGTCCGACAATCCCAGTCACAAATGTTCATACGTTTCATTTAAATGTACCGAATGAGCAACAGGAACCAAAGCCAGTTCGTTACCATTGTGCAATAAAACGCATTTAAATTACGCTTACTTGAGTCAATAAACAGGCGTCATTATTCTTTTATATACGTAACATTTCCTAATTTATTGTTGCAACACACTAGGGGTCCTTCCTGAGTAAAATATTGACCAAATTCATTTTCGCGATCCCGGTAAAAACTTGTGACGCCATTGGTGAGTATTTAATTCGCTCTGGTTAAACACTTCGGGATCTCTGAAATATGGTGTGAAATCTTAGTCATTTGGATCGGAATTAGATTCGTCTGATTCTGACGATATGACATTTTCTAGTTCTTTTGGAGTAGTAGGTATCGGTATATCTGATCCATGAGGAACTCGTCGAATAGCAGAGTCAAGATTCGGATATCCAATTTGTTTCTTATTTTTTCTGTTGAATTCTTGGACAATACACGAACAAAAATATCATTCATTGTGATTACTATTCTTTCGCCGTACCACAGGAACACCAAAGCTTAAACATTTCTTCCTACCTTTTGGACAGTTTTTCTTTCAATGCTTCAACGCAAACGGAACAAACAGTACGATATGCACAGGACTTGTCTTGGCTAACTGCTTTTTCACCAAATAAGCGTTTGGCTGTGCTTTACTACGACATAACTACCACAGATATAACAACAGTTATTTGGATTGTTCACACAATGTCTTCTTTTCATAATTATACTTTCTAGAATACTAGAAATACGCAACAACGAAGATAACAGCCGCTAACATGACGACCAATACAACAAAACTGCCCATAAGCAGGCTCTGCGCCAACTCTGTTGCTTTGCATAGAAATCTAATATTATCCAGTAATCCATTTAAAAATAATGCCTAACATGCCTAAATGCCTAAAATGACGTGATAGAGCAAAAATATGGCGTTTCTGGAAAAAGGGCCCCCAAAAATATATAAATAAGCAAACAGCTTTCAAACATCAACATCACTGTAGCCTGTTTTATTTATTTAGTATTTAGTATTTGCCATAAACATGTTCGGTTGCGTTGCTTGACAGGCATCGCAATTTGCAGTCTGGCAGTGCCATTTTATCCGATTTGGACCAAACAGAATATCCATTCAGCAGTAGAGTTGGATCCAAATTCACAAAATAGATTACATGACGTAATTTCAATAACACCCGGTATACACGTCACATGATTTTAATTTTAATAATAACAACATATGTCCTCTATGTGTATAAGTTGTTTTGCTTGGTTGGGTTGTCAAATGAACCAGTCGACTCCTACTGATAGTAAAGGATAGGACGGCCAGCTAATTCCCCAGATTTGCCACCTAGGTGGCACCTAGGTCCCCAGATATGGCACCAAATGATTTTTTCTTTTGGGTTACGCCAGTAGCACTATTTAAGGGCACACACATCATAATTTAAATGTATTTCAGTAAAATTACAACTGCTTTTAGCAATGTTCGTGGTGAAAGTTCGACAAATATTTTATGATAGGTTGGGATATTGCTCAAATAAAAATAATGGACTTTTTAAACCTTTTATAAAATAATTATTAAAGTTTTAGTTTTATTTTCAGAACTCCTTTTTTATTTTTCATGGCGGGCGTACACTTTTGACTTAATTAAACGTATTCTGTTTTTTTTTTTAATTAAGATCAAAGTTTTGATTTTAGTGCAAACGGCACAAACAAAGAACAATAAATATTTTTGAATCATTTCAATGAAATGCGTCAAAAATTTTAAAATGTAATTTCAAATACGATATGCGCCAAAGAAATCGGGCTCAAGAACGACGTAACCCTTAGTGACAATTGAATTATATTAACAACTTATCCCTGACCGGAACAGAATCGAAAAACTGTCTACAATCATAGGAGCCTTATATCATTGGATCTGCGGAGCAAAATGATTCACTTCGATGATTTTAAAATCTCCGTTTTGTCACACTAACGATAATCCTATAATCGAATAATATTTTTGTGACACTTTTGAACATCAAAAAATATCAAGATGGGACATCCATGGATGTGGCATTGTTCGGCAGTATTTTATCCAAATAGTTTACTTAGTTTAGTTATTTAAGAAAGAAAATGGCGCAAAGCAAAACAATATCATAGCCAGGAGAGTAAAATTCCATGCAACTCTGGGCCAGCTTAACTAAAGATGGTTCATTGACGCACGTCAGGAACGAACGTGAAAATTATCTCAAATGGTTACCACATCAAAAATTAAGGCCATTTATTTTTTTATTGATTCGTGTCTTTTATTTTCATTAAAATTGTTGTTGTTTGTAGGACGATAGCTTTCAACTACTTGTACTTCAAACCCAATTACCTACAATTAACCAACACATCAGGTAAAGTCTGTTTATAGATATAAGAAAGTGACTAACTGATACGAATTAAGGAAAAACCCGGGCAAGCTGTAAGAATGAAATATGGCCGAACAGGTCCGTACTTTGCTTAGAATTTAATTATTTGGGGTTTTGTTAGGAAATATACTAAACAATATTTATTTATTTATGTATGTATTTATGTTTAAATCTAAAATAAAATTACAAATTATTTATTATAATTATAATATATCAGTATCACTATGGCTATCATCACATTCTAATTATTATTTGTTCTATATTATTTGCAATATGGATATACGATTGTTCTGCTTTTTCTATATGTTTAACAGAAATTGCCCAACTTTGTGGAGGGATGTTAAAAATTTCGGTTTCTATAAGTTTGAGAACATTGGAGTTAACACGGGGAAAAACATTGTTACGACGAATGGCGGATTTCAATTGGTGCCAAACATGTTCAATGGGATTAAATATACAGTGCTAAAACTGTATGCCCTAGACGTAGGTTCAAGCTCAGAACCTCAATTATTTGCTTTTTGATATAATCCTCGTGAAAATAAATGTCGTTATTATACATGTAGTTTTGGATTGTTGCTTTTGTGTCACATGATGAAGGGGTTTTAGTCAACTGTCTACTGTGATAACTTGCATTGCCCATTACAATGACGCTATTAGGCGGAATGTTTGGAACTAGTTTGTCTTTAAACCAACTTTCAAATAAATCAGCGGTGGTGTCTTCTTGGTAAACCAGAGAAGAATTTCTATTATTTTTCGCAGACAGAGAAACTCGATTTGGATTCCAAAGATCTTTAGAGTCAGCATGCAAAATAGTTTTTCTTTCACCTCTTATTAATGGCTCGTTTGTTTTACACTTATCAGTTGAGTCAACCCAACCCTTTTTCGGGGGTATCATAAGTGCCGAACCAGGTTTCATCCAAGTAAATAATTGGCCTTTGTTGTTCTCTGTAAATCGTAATTTTTTCTAGATATTCCAGTCGCCATTTCCGAATTCTAAAAGATTCCATTAAAACTTGCCTTTTGTCAATTTTTTAAAATCTAAAACCCATGTGTTGAATACACTTCCATAAGGTAGTTCTGCCACATTGAACACCATTTTCATCTTTTTCAATCCTCCTCATTAAGATATATAGGCACGCTTTGTTCCTCGTATAACTGGTAAATTTTACGCCGTATTATAACTTGATCACTTTCATCTACATTCGAGAAAATGTCAGCATCGCTTCTTTTTTTCCTCGCTGAAATGGGATTATTCACAATTTTCCATACAGTTGATGTTAGAATTTTCGTCAATTTGGCAGTTTCTTCTTAAAATGCTTACTTGCTGGCGCCACGTTCAATGAGAGTCAAATAAACATTGTTTATAACTTCCTTAGTCTCAATAGAATAGTGTTTTCTACATTTTGGCGGGAGCATAACTATGAGACACACTAGGCTCGCACATATTTTGCATAATTCGCACACGATTCAACACACGCTGTATTACACACGAAGTAAGAATGATAAACTTAAACTAAGTAGTATACCAAACCAAAGATAAAAAATAAAGAATATTAAACACAGATAGGTATAAAATTATTTTCTATTACTATTTAAATTCCGAAACTTTAGGTAATAATCTTGTTGCATTGTATGTTAATGACCGCCCTTGTATAACCCCATTCAAAAGCAATTGGTCACTTTTTTATATCTATGAAGAGACCATACGTTCTACACCGATGAAAATTTCGGCGGAAATATTTTTCCGAATGAAATGTGGACTTTCTCCAGCGTTAAAGAAAACTTTTACAGATAATCCGTGTTTTACCTCAGGGGCTGCAGGCTCTCGACCGCCGGCGTATCCAGCTGTCCATTAACGACGTGAAGTTTAAGAAGTCGTCCTGCCAGATCGCTGTCCGCGAAAGCATCCAACGGGAGCTGCGTCATATTGTGACCGTCGATGTTCAAGACGGTCAGATTCCCGAGGATCTAATATTCAATTTTAACAGTCTACCTTTCAGTTCAATATACTTTTTATCACGTTTTTAATAAAACTTAATAGCATATTAAATGTTGTTTTAATTTGCACGCGCGGAGTGACTTAATAAACTGGACAAATTCAAAAAACCCGCAGTGGCTAAAGGCAGACGAAAACAACCGAACGCTCCAAAACCCGTGACCAAAATACCGGAAACGTCCGAAGTGGCTCGCGACAGTAGCTCAGCTGATAACATGACGTTAATAAGACGTCGATTATTGGTACCTTGATTCGGCCTTACCGTTGACGTGTATATAACGAAAAAATGACGTGAAAATGCCACAGCCCATTTACGTATATTAGGACACCTAAAATAACGTCATATTAAAATGTAAATATTACGTCATTCTTTGTTGTTGTATGACGTACTTTAGACGTTCATAATTAATGTAGTATGAAATCCGAAAAAAGACGAATATGTTATGAAAAATTTATTGAATATGTAAATGTGTATATAAAAAAAAAGTTTTTCTCAAAAACAAAAAAAAGATGTTAGACATAATAAAAGAGCTGTGGAGGTCTACGTAAGATGCTCAAACCATACTGGAACGCGCAACGACCGCTCACGTCTTGCAAAGGAAGGAAGGAACATTTACATTCTAATTTGTAGGCCTCTCGAGAGCAAAATTGTTGAGATCAATCACCTAGAGATAAGTAAATGGATTTTTTCATTCAGAAAACGCTTTCCCCACAATAAAAATAGAGCCATCATTCCTCTTTAAGATATGATGAATTTCAATAATTGTGTTATCAATCATTCCATAACAATCTGCTTGAGAAAAGTTAATTGTCTTTAAAGTCGATTTTTGAAAACAGTTTTTTATACTGTTTGATAATCATTGACGTTCAGAGGTCCATAATTATGTTCAAAGTCGCAATTTAAGGTTTTCAAATTAAGGTAAGGTGTACTAGTAAATATGTTACCATGTTCTAATAATCGTCTACTTATTTGTTGCAAAGGAGATTTTGATGATTTAACCAGTGACTTTAATTGGCCTCAAAAATTGTCAAAGGGGAAAGCTGAAAAATTGTCCAAGGGACCATACTTATCAACATCTCTAAAAGTCGTTTTCGTTATTTTACTCAAGCGAATAGATTTAGCCACGGTATTTTAACATTTGTCAGTTTTGACCGCGACGTTACACATCACTCGGCAAATGTATTCATACTGTTTTCCAAAACAGCACCCCAAAACTAAATGGACACAGAAAAAGTCTAGTATGATAAAACGTTGATAATCCAGTCGTTTTTTACACACTCGCTCCACTCGTACGACTAAAATGGCGTTTATCAAAGTCTACTATTTTTATTTTAACATTATGTGGACAAAAGCAGTTTTTTCGAAAAAACCCAATATAATAGGAAACCGTAAATAAATCAAATAATATCCCCGTGTGGGGATTGGTCAGTTACCTCCATCGGGTGGGTCCCTATTGGAATTAGGGAAAGCTCGCTGGGTATGCAAGCCAGCAGATTCAGAGGGTAGTGGGGAAATAAAGTACTCACCGTGAAACAAAAACTGACCTGGTCCTCCAGGTTGAGGGTTAAGGCATTGGACTGGTTCTCTAATACTTGGAAAACATAAATATACCAAAAAGCCTAAACAAGGCCTCGGAACACCGGATGGATCACTTGGACGACGAACTAAGCAATGAAAATGGACGATTAATTTTACCACATGGAATGATCAGGGTTTAAGACAGAAAACTCATTTTATGGCGGCAGAAATCAAGGAACGAAAAATTGATTTGGCAGCCTTAACGGAAACCAAGAAAAAAGAAAAAGGTACCGGTTTTGTTGGAGACTTTGTCCATATATTTTCCGGAGTGTCAAAAGAAAAGAGAGCAGCGAGAGGAATATCAATACTAATAAGAAAAGATTGGAGGAATAAAATAAGTAATTGGGAAGCTGTTGATGAAAACATTCTAACAGTTCATTTGAAACTACATGGCCATAACATAAAGATTATCGCAGCCTATTCACTATCAGAAGATGAAAGAGCCGATATTAAATAGGAATTTTATGACAAATTAGATGAAATGATTACAAACACCGAACAAAATAGAGAAATTGTGATGATTGGTGACTTCAATGGAAGAACGGGAAAACAACAAAATAGTACAACCGTGGGACCATATGGAGAAGAAACAGTCAATGATAACAGCGAAAGACTAATTCATCTTTGCGAGACAAACAACCTAAAAATCAAGAATGGTTTCTTTAAACATAAAAATATCCATCGCTATACATGGACACAGAGTACTCGAAACCTTAAATCCATCATTGACTACGTGATTAGTCCACAGAAAACAAATTTGCAAATTGACGATGTGAGAGTCCTAAGAGGGAGCACCTGCGGATCAGATCACTACTTAGTGAAAGCCAAGATAAGCCTTCATTTTCGAAAAACTGGAAACCTTCAGGGAGTTCAAAACAATAACATGACATCCACGGAGACAATTGTTACACCAAAATACAACTTTAACAGTTTTAGGGATGAGAGCACAGTATTTCTTTATCAAAGACGGCTCGACAGTAAACTGCTCAGTCCTGATGGACACACGTTTGACGAAATCTATGAGAACATAATAACGAGTCTAACAGAAGCTACACAAGAGGCAATAAGAATAAAAAAAGAACAGCACCAACAAAAAACATTGGTGGAATGAGGAAATAGAGACAATGGTTCAAGGAAAAAAACAACAATATCTGAAATGGCTGCCTACAAAAAATGAACAAGATCTTGAAGAATATATACATAAAGAGGAAACTAAGAGTGCAGATTAACAAGGCAAAAAACGAATCTTGGGATAGGAAATGTGAAGAGATTAACATTGGAAGAAGAAAATCCTCAGAAATGTGGAAATTCATATCTACTGTAAAGAATCCAGGAAAAGACAGGGTAGGCATTCAACTTAAACCCGAACAATTAAACACTACAATCTAGACCAGAATATTTAACTCAATCTCCAAGACACTTCAATATACAAGGAGAAGAAGTTGAAATACCTGAGGAAACAATAAGAAAAGCTTTTATGAATCTTAAACCAGGCAAATCTAGTGACCCAGAAGGAACACCGAAATGTTAAAATACGGAACTCACAACCTTTTCAGAAATCTGGCAATTATTATTAATAAATGCTTGAATGGACATCCCGTTCCCAAGGAATGGAAAGTGGCTCTTATCTCCTCTATACACAAAAAACGAAATAAACTGGACTGCAATAGTTATTGCATTTCGGTTACAAGCACAATAAGCATACTGTACGGCAGAATTTTACGTGATCTCATTGAGGAAGACTATAAAGACAAAGAGGAAGAAGAACAATGTGGTTTCAGAGCAGGAAGATCACAAGTTATAGAAAAGAGAAGTGCCAGGAATATCTGGGCATCACATTCGACAACACTTGAACAGATGCAAAAGAAATAGATAAACGAATAGTCAAAGCCAAAAAAGTAATAGGAGCTCCGAATGGTATCCTATGGAGCAAAGAAATATCCAACAAACGGAAATTTAATATCTATGAAGCAATGGTAAAAAGCACCTTCCTATAGAGACATGGAGAATTTCCGATAAACATAAAAAAAGGGTTGAAGCTGTCGAGATGGATGCATTTAGAAGATCAATGCGCATTTCAAGAAGAGATAGAATAAGAAACGATACCATAAAACAACTTACTTGGTACGGACACATGGAAAGAGTGTCAAATACCCGATATCCGAAAAGAATACTCCACTGGAAACCAACAGGTAGAAGAAAACGAGGCAGGCCAAAACTGGAGTGGCAAAAAGCTATGCATAAATCGACGGGGTTGGAGTTTAGGTGTCGGACAACGTCGAAGGACAGCGAAGCTTGGTTTGTCTTATATTTATTATTTTTGTAATGTTGTAATTTTCATTTCATTTTCATTCCGGTTATTTCATTTTCGCGTTCCCTTTCTAGAGGTTTATTTTTCATCCGTGTGCCAATTCCGATTTATGCTAGCTCGCTTACAGTTTTCTTTCGCGAAAAATAATAATTCCCGTTCAAATCGATCTTTTTCCCAAAGGAAGACTTTCGGTAACTTCTCGACCCAGAATTCGATTATTATATTTCCTAGGGGGGGAGGCGTTGGAGGCTGAGGGGTTTCCCTTTGAAACGCTCGAGGGCGACAAACACGGCGATGAAAAAATAAATTTCTCCCCCTCCCCATCTATACGATGTCGGCTCCGGATTTCAATGGACTCTCGGGGGGACGTCGATTTTATGAGGACGAGAAAAATGCGAATGCGTCAAGGCCATGGAGGTGGTGCGAGGAACGATTAAATACTCATCACAAAATAATAAAAAAAGGTGCTCCCATTTAACGATCCTTGTACACTGAACCAAAAATGTGACTAAATTCAATGAATTTTATTATAATTGTCATCCAAAGAAGAAGTTAATTAACACAATGAAGAGCACATCTTTGATTAGAGAAAATCAATTTCTATTTGTCAATAAACATAATTCTTTAAGCTGATGATGATTTTTGAATAATCTAATGAAAAAGATTCCTTGTTTCAATTGTTCCCAATTAACCAATTTAAAGAATCACTTCAACGAGCTGGTTCCTGTAGTCCGACATACACTGCACACAACTGAAGAGTTGTTTTTGTTTCATATCCGTGATGACCGAATCCTCCGGTCTCATTGTTTGTTCGTCTTTGTGTCTCACTCTACCTACACGAAAAAATCTTGTTGCTTATCCAAGTGCGCACATGTCAGTAGCTTCTAGCATTCTTTTATTTATGTCGGTCATTCATTCCCCACGTTAACCATCGAGTTAGCTACTTTTATTTATTGTGTTGTATGTATTGTATCTTCTCCATCTGAATTCCATTTAGCCAACCATTGGCCTGTATCCTTCCTTTTATTTCTTCCTTATTGAATGTTATTCTTAAATATTTGCAATCTTCACAAGCGTCAATAATATCCAAGTTGTGGTTTTCAGTCCCAACACTCATTTCTTTAATTTTTTGGATGTTCATAGTTAGGCGCCCTTTCTCATAGGTTTCTTTAAGTTTTCGGATCACATATTCAAGCTCTTCTTTGTCAACTGCTAAAACGAACTAATATCTGCAACTTTTAAACTATATACTATATTTGCTATTGGCACTTCAATTTGGATACATTTGCTATTAGAATTCATGAGCGGCTTCTCTAACAGATATTTTTAAACAACGTTTATAGAACAGGTTTTTAATTTATAAACAATAGATTGTTACGAGCAAAAAATAAACATCAATCCAATGAAGAAGAGTTATTATGCTCATGGATATCAATGAACTAGTTCGTTAGATCAATGAATCAAGAAAACCTGTTAATAATGACTCTTAATTAATACCATTAACAAGATTATTTTTTGTGTATCTCCTACCCTGTCTGGGATCCCAATGGGGCTGAATTTCAATTACCTTATATACACAACCATTCCAGAAAAAAACCATCATTCCCTTTCAAAGAAAAATGAATCGGCATTATTCCTGTCTAGCGGTAGGAATAAAATCACGTACCGAAATATCCTATTCCGGCCCTGTCGTGGGCCAACATGCTTCCAACATTTTAAAGTCAAAGAAGCGCGTTCTCTTATCGGCTGCCCTTGCCACTCGAGCGAGGAAAACTCCCGAAAAACTTCCGAAAATGGTTTCGCGATTTATTACCTGCAATAAGCCGACTGTTCTCTCCGCCCCCCCCGCCCTTGGGTGGCCGAATTTGTCGCAGAGGACGTTCGAAAACAAATGCGAGATGATTTCCAGTCAGGCGCCAAAGAAATAGGTTTTATTAAAAAAGAAAAGAAAAACGGAACCGGAACTGTTATTTATAGTCTGTTCGTAAGCCAACGATATAAGTATTAAAACCACACTATTGTTAATTTCTAGTTTAAATCCTCCAAGTATATAAACTGCGATGTAGGGTCACCCGCTTGATTTGAAAATTCAACTCTATAGGGGTTGGTAAAGTCCATATAAAAATGTAAGTAGAATCTAAAATCACTGCTTTCCAAAACACACGGTGGCCATGAATTATTAATATCTTAGCGATGCTTTTGTTCAAATTTGATAATTTTGTTAACTGACACGTAATATACGAAAAAAATCTTTTTTTTTTCTAATTTACCTTGAACGCCATGCTAGGAAATTCCGTCAAGCTTGAGTTGACTAAATGTAACTCGTTGAGGGTGTCATTTACTCCCAAGAAGCTGTAGCGGTCTATGGTTTCTATGGGTGTGTTTTCAATCAGTAGCGTCCTCAGTTTGAGTTTGTGAAGGAGACCGCCGAATAACCTCGCTACCGGAAGATGGAAAAAGAGTTGGTAGAAATATTTTTTTCGCAAAATAGTATGAGGAAATTACGGGAGCATCGTACATTCCTTAAATAGAAATATTAATTTTTGAAAAATTTAGTTTAGACCATAAGATGAGATGATGAGTGAAAAATCATTTTCGATTTTTCTACCAATGCCAGTGAAAGAATATTTTTGCATAAAATGTTGGGGTTTCTTTAAAGTAAGGAATTTTTTTGTACATTAGTAAATGGACATTTGTTTTTCTTATAACTTCTACGCAAACAACGTTATAGCCCGCGAATGTTGCTTCCAGAGTTTTGCATCTACTGTTTCAAATGCGTTTATACAAAACAACATTTTCACTTGTGTTTTACATGGGTTTTTAATACTATTAAATTGATAGCATTTCTGGTGGATTTAAAAATGCTTTAAAAAATTACTATCGAATGAAAGCATCTTATTTTTAAAATTAGAAATTTTTCTTGTATTTCCAAAAAACAGAATTGCATTTACGTACACCAGACTATACCAATAAAAAAGGAATGCCAAATTAAGTACATACACCATAACCTCACCCACCCATATGACAGCCGTTCAAAATTAGCCTCTCTACTGGCAACTCGAACGTTGCCAGATTGTTCAGCGCGACGCCCATGCTTGCCAAGTTGGTGTTGTTGCAGCTGACGTACAGACCTTGGTCGGTCTCAGCATCGCACGTGCACGGATGCAACAGCAACGGCTCATTGGGACACCTGTACAATGGCCCAGGCGGTATGTACTCAGCAGTGGCATAAATTGTCAAAATGACGGCAGTGAAGAAGCCTCGCGACGTTGCCATCGCTCGTCAGACCTGCCAACCGTCCCGAAAATTTTCCTGCAGACCAGTCAAACCGGCAACGTTGCGAAAAAAATTAAATAGGCGGAATTCGACGCTTCTCTGCTAAAGAAAGAAGTCGGGCAACGTTGCGGCGTTTAAATAACTCACCTCTATATCCGGTTACGACGGTAAAAATACTAAAACCAAATCGTCACCAAACTTTATATCAATGAAAGCACTCGAAATAATAGACCGCATTATTATGGCCCTTTATTATCCATGCGTATTTACAGCCACATTCTGCGTAGACTTCTTGCAATTTTTCACAAGGCACAACGACTGACTTTCGCGATCAAGGTAACCGTGCAAGAAATGACGTTTTCACTTTCATCGAAGTTTGGAAACTACCGACAACGGAGCGCTGAGTCAATCAACTGACATCGTTCGAAGACAGTTCGAACAAATTCCGTTATATATCAATGGGAAATGGCGTCGAAGAAGTCGATTAAAACACCCGTCCGCCGAATATCTGAAGGAAAGAGTTTAAAAGAGAAATTCCGTTTATTTGTTAAGGTCATTGACACACTTCCAATATACCACCAGAATGGACTTTTATATTTTTTTATATGAAAATAGAGCTGGAGCTTTCAGGAACCAGAATTTGATTTAAAGTCGTGAAACGTGTCAATCGGCTGTTAAAACTTTCAAATTTTCCTCCACGGACGCCCTTTTAAAAGACGAGAGCGGCATCTGTGATATAGTAACCGAACTGAAGCTTTGATGAGATCTGTAATGCAGTTTCTTCAGAGAAAATCTGTAATGTTGTTTGTTCCGCGGGAGTTACTTTCGCTTCGGATGCATAGATAGCGCAAAAACAAAAAAAAAATTAAAGTGACTATGACTTCGCGGAATTTAGATTAATATTATAAGCCAAATGCTAGATTTGTACAAGTAAAACTTAATTAATTTAGTAATAATATTTCAAGAAATATATATGTAGGTGATTTGGTTTGCTGGTTGTTAAGTATGGGGTCCTTTTTTGGTTCTCCACCTCATCTCAAAAACAGAAAAGACTTGACCGAAAATGATCGTTTCAACTTTTCTAACTGCTTGCAAAAATCTGCAAAGAGCGACGTTTTACTACATTATTGAATACCCTACACATCTGGGTTAAATTTGGCTGAAGGACCCTGCGCCACCCCCTCAGAATTGATAGACGAACGTCTTCCGCTCATATCCATCTCAATGCTGAATTTTTTCCGGTAAAAGTGAGTCCCGAATACAACAAAAACGTCTCGCACGAATGAACAGACTCCGGACTCCGGAAACTGACGTCACGGCAGAGCGGAAACGCATCGTGAACAAGAAACGCGGGGGCGCTGTTTCGTCCGGAGGCAACCCTCGCGTCAAGAAGAAAAACAAGTCACGGTCCATCGGGGGTTTCGACGTATGAAAAATTGCATTCTTTTTTCGTCGTCTTTATTGACGTACAGGATGTTTACTTTTATCTGCGTACAATTCCGTATGGTTAGCATTTTCAGATTTTAAATAAAAAAATTGCCAATATATTAAAAATCGATGATATAAAACAAATCGCATTCCTTGTTTCAAGTGTTGAACTAGTTTTCCACCACTTATGGCATTCTTTATTCTGTACTCTGTAATCCGTGATTCACTATGCATACTTGGAGAGTAGTTTTTGTTTGATATCCGTGATGATCGTATCCTCCAATCCTATTGTTTGTCTGTTTTCGTGTCTCACTCTACTTACACCAAAAAATCTTGCTACTCATCTAAGTACACAGATTTCAGTTTCAACAAACCAACAATTATTTTTTGCCAAGTTATACACCGATCGAGCGTGCGAAAAGTATTATTTTACATGTTTTGGAAGACATTACCCAACGCTTGAATTTTGACGTTTGTCAATTCTGGTCCGGTCGTAGTCGTAATATGCAGTAACAGTATGCAACACATTTCGTAATAGTATATTATGCAACAAGTTCGGTAAACGGCATTTGAGTCACCAATCTAATTCGAACGAGCGGAGAGAGTGTTTACTAAACGAGTGACTTAAAAAGTTTACCAAACATGTTGCATACTTTTTCTACGACCGTTAATTTTTGGATTAATTTTTGCAAAACAAAACACATACATTCACTGACATAAAATTTCCGAAAACATCCGATTGCTCCCAAACCTGTGCCGTAATATCCTCGAAATGTCCGAAGTGGCTCAGATCCATGGGACACGAAACTTACGCTGTAAAGTGACGCTTTCCGCACGCTAAATCGGTGTATAATTAGGTATTTTGCAGAGGAGAATAGAAAAAATTATTCACTCGTTTATTAAGCACTAGCTCCGCTCGTGCCAAATAAACTCTTCATTCAAATGCCGTGTACCAAACTTATTGCATAATATACCTCTTCAAGATGTTTTCGGTATAGAATTTTGTAGACACCAAACAAACATAAACAGCACAAACCAAAACAAAAGCAAAAAACAAACTGTTACCGAAAAAATCTACAAAAATATAGCCTAAACAAATTCTCCATAGAGGCTACATAATGATTATAAAAAAAAATATAAAAATATTTAAGTATCAAGGTATATCACAAATTATGCTAATAAAATTGTAAATCCCAAAGTGGAACCTATTCTCCCGAGGCGTCAGCATTTCCTGTCATATTGAATAAATGGAACATAGAGGAAATATCAAAAATTGATTTTCAATGAGAAATAAGTGTAAAATTTTATAGGATAGGAACAAAAAACTAAAAAAAGTACAATGTTATAATAAATAATTTTATTTAAAAAAAAATGCAGTGATACAAGGAACTAAACACCAACTGGAACAAACAACTGACGATGTAACTTTTATTTTAACAACTTCATAAGGAAAAATATGACTACTTCTGGTCATATTTTCTAGTCCCGGTAAGAAAATACCAACTTGTCTTTTAAAGAATACAAATTAACATAGCCGTAGCAATATTTAGTATATTATAATAATATTAGCATTGGGACCTATATAACACATTTGAATGTTTTTTTAAAAATTGGTAGTGTTTTTAATTATTTGTTATTATAAGTCCTGTAGATGGAGCGGTAAGTTACATAACATGACTTATGGAGCATTCCAAACTGAAGTAGAAAAACGGAATAGGTTTTTTATAGGTTATGTTTAGCTTAGCGTAATTCTAACACAACCAACCACTTTACTTGAAATAGTTGAATCGGAAGTCTTATGCTAACGGAGTAATCGAACCATAACTTTTTTTTGTCTACCTCGGCATATACCCTTTCTCGGGCTATTAAAATTTTACTTTAAAAACTTAATTTCAAATTTTCCAGTATTCTTTCTAGGTCATTGCCTATATTACCTCAGTGTTACGTCACACATTTTCATTGTTCGTCCGATTGAATTCTCGAAATTCCACCCAAGAATGTTCTAAAATGAATTTTAATTTTCCTGAAATTCCTTACCGTCTTATGTACACAGTATACTATTTTTGAGTGGTTTCACGGCGTATCTTCTTTATTAATAAACCTAGCGTGTTATAGTTTTCGTGACCCCAGGCTGCTTTTTTTATGAAATGAAAGGTGGTAAAACAAGAAATGCCATAGCTGTCAAAATAAACTATTTTTAATGAAAAACGCTGTATGAATTTTAATTAAATTCAATGTATTTAATTTTAAATTTTGCCAGCCTTGTTATGAGCTTTTGAAAAATATGTGACACGTACGATTTATTTCAAATATAAAGTAATTTTGCTTTTCTACTGCCGTCTGTAAAATAACTAATTACCCACCGATCTAGGGTGCGGGAAGCGTCACTTTACCACGTCAGTTTCGTTTCCCATGAATCTGAGCCACTTCGGACATTTCCGGGATTTTACCGCACGAATTTGGGAGCAATCGGATGTTTTCGGAGATATTTCTCACGCCTTGAATTTTGACATTTGTCAATTCTGACGGTCATGTCAGTTAATGTATTCGTGTTGTTTAGCGAAAATGTACCCAAAAACTAACGATCGTAGAAAAAGTATAGTATGCAACATGTCCAGTAAACTTTTTAACTCACTCGTTTATTAAAAACTCGGTCCTCTGCGCTCCGCTCGTGTCAAATAAACTCGTAAGTCAAATGCCGTTTACCGCACTTGTCGTATAAATACTAGTTTTTTATGTGTAGGCCATGGAAGAACAGGTGTACCGCTTCCTAAAATACACTTAGTTGTCAATCAGCCATAATATTTCGTTATTATTAATTTAATTAATGCTTCCTCTTCCTTCTGCTATGGCTCATTTTAACCCAAAATGCGCATTTAATTTTCCACAGACACAAGTTTATTTTGAAAAGTAACTCTTTGTTTAAGTAGCGAAAAGTCTGTATTTTTCATGACTTACTCATTAACAAAAATAAAATGAAAGATATACGCATTGTATTTAAAGTTGTTTATACGTGTTATATATTTCTAATAAAGTCTAATGAAATGGGACAAAAAAACATGTTTAGTTTGTGAGCTTGTGAGTTGCAGAAAAGCACTGATTACGCCACTGGATAATATGTGCATAACCAGTTTTGACATTTTCCAAAATTTGCAAAAATCGCCCTATATCCAAAAATGCAAGATGGCTATGACATTTTTGTGTGCCTTTTTTCATTAAAAAATATTCTTGGGTCGCCAAAGTCACAACACCGATGTAGCTTTATTAATAAGATTTACCATTACATTTTTGAGAGAAGAGAGTTCACCGTGTTCAAAATTCACCGCTTAATTAAAATGGCGCAAAGCGCAAACTATTGTGTATAAAAATCATATAGGGGAGGGTGGGGCAAGGCGGCCCACTTAAGCTTTTCATTATTTTTTGGGTCTTTTAACCGTCAAATTGATTTAGTTTTGAAATAACTTTAACTAAATTTACCAAAATTTTGTGCCACAGGGTGGCCGTCGTGCCCCACTCTCCCCTATTTATAACGTTATATATAATAATTATAATCATTTATTAAAAAGTATTTAATATACAAAAAGCGTTACTGATTTGTAACTAATTTGTTGTTGGTATTTATAAGATTTTTGAAAGCTCTGGCTTTACGCTAAATCCATATAATTCTCCAAAAAATAACACTTTTAATAAATTAATTATGATTCAATTATAACAGCTACTGCTAGAATTTTTAAGCGGTCCATTTTACCCTTGATATTGCGCAAATAACCAGAATTTATAGTTATTAGAAGAAAAAATTGTGGTTAATTATCGAGGTGGACCTCCTCGCCTCCACCCTCCCCTAGATGGCCTTACTACGGTAAAAACTGCACTACGCTCCATTTACATCTAAACATTGATTTCCTAGAACTCGTCCTAAAATATTTAACG